AGATTGTGTGTATCACATGTCACTCAAATAAAGTGTGTATCACAGTGAAGTATCGTGCGACCAATAAAAAAAATAAAAACGAAAGAAAATACAAAATAAATAGGAAAATAAATACGAAAATAAGATGAACAATACAACAATGAAATAGAAATGAAAAATACAATAATAAAATAGAAATGAAAAATACAACAATAAAATAAAAATGAAAAATACGATAATAATATAGAAATGAAAAATACGAAAGAAAAATAAAAATGAAAAATACAACAATGAAATAGAAATGAAAAATACAATAATAAAATAAAAATGAATAATACAACAATAAAATAAAAATGAAAAATACGATAATAAAATTGAAACGAAAAATACAATGAAAAAATAAGAATGGAAAATACGAAAATAAAATAAAAATAGAAAATACAAGAACAATGTAAATGTGAAAAATACAATAATAAAATAAAAATTGCAATTTAAAAAATTATAAAAGAATAAAATTGCAATTTTTGTTGATACAACACAAATTCTTACCCTAGATCTTCAATATATTGCGTGTTCAGAAGAGTTTACTTTGCAAAATTGACATAAATATAGTAATTTAGTTTGATGATTATAGTTTCTAATAAGAGTTCGCAATAGAAGTTTGTTGCTCGTTGAAACGGAACCAGGAATTTTCTAGACAGAATCGCGCTATCTCTCTCTCTCTCTCTCTCTCTCTCTAATTATGATTTTCAAACTACAATAAGCTACTGTTTGGAATGCTGATAACGGAGCGATCACTGTCCGATTCGCTGACTTTTTTATTTCCAAATTCTTAGCCGACTGTAGGCACAAGGTTCAGGTTGATCAACAAAGTATGCCGAATACCGTGAAGATAATAACTGAAGACAATAATGCGAAGATAATAAATCTCCTTTTATCACAGCCGAACACTTGCAAAACAAAACACGTTTACTTTGTTCCAAGATTCAATATGATTTCAGTAGATATCTGAGATACCCCCGAAATGTTTAACTCACAGAATTTTGTATCGTAGCGATAACAAAGGAACGTAGATT